GAGCGGCCGACCTCTGAAGAAGCTGCTGCCAGAAACACCAAGCAGCAGCTTCGTTGTCTCAAAGGGAAATGGTGGTGGTGACTTGTGTACTGCTGCACCAAATCAACTGACATCCCTCAGCAGAGCCTGGGACAAACACTGCCACCTGCTGGCTCCTTCCTTCCCCATCCTCGCCCCACCAATCTGCCTCCCTCCCTCCCTCCTTCTTCAAAAATCAAACCAGTCAAGCCCCTCCAAGGTAGGGGGAGGGGGCAGTGGGAGCCCTGAGGTATGTGAGGTGCTCAGGAGAGACTCCGGGATTGGCCTGGAGTCTCCAGGAATTAAAGATTAATCTTGAATTAAAGATTATGTCATGTGATGAAATCTCCAGGAATACATCCAACCGAAACTGGCAACCCTAGGAAGCAGCGGGGCTGACATGGCAGATATCTGGCACTTTACCAAATGGCTGAGGCCCTAAATCTGTTTCCAAAAGTGCTCATTTCAGGCCTGACCCTTGGACCTGAGCTTCCCAACTCCCATTGATTTCAGGGAAGACCTCATCTTGCAGGAGCTACCGGCAACTAACTAACTCCCAAGGAAAAACTTGAACCAAAGACCACAGCTGAAACATGGCATTTACTTAAGGTTTTGATCAGGTTAAAAACAACTAAATCATGCCCCCTCCTTCCCCACCATATGTCACAACCATTTCACACACAATCCACTTAAACACAGAAGATTAAAACACAGCACAGCAGTTGTTAAACTGGCCTGTCTTAACCAGCTATGGAAGCTGTCCAAGATGATGGCATAAATTGATCTTCATTTGTTAAGAATTGCAAATTTTGCAACTTCAGTACATCCAGAGTGGCTATTTGAGATCAATATAATGCCTTTGCTAAGTCAGATAGCTCTAGTATTGGTTATGAAAACTGATTTTGAAAAATTATTATAACCTAGGTGGATGCTGTACTGAAGTCTTAAGCAAGTGCATCTTGGAAAAAAATCCAGTACTTATTTTTCTCTCTTTTTTTTCCCCTCCCCAAACATGTTGTGTTTC